AGACCAATGTTCTGCTGTCATTCTGAACCTATAGATGGAAAACTACGTTATTAGCTGCCTTAATTTGTATGGTTGGGAAGAAAACAAAACACAATTCTAAAGTATAATGGTAAATGGTCCCAAGTCAGCAGCTAAGAATTTCATTGACATCTTTTTAGCAAAAGCATCCAGCTAGCGTTTTTATTGTCTTGGACATGGTACGGATTGTACCCTGAGGAATAGTTTATCAAGTGTATGTCATAAAACATGGAAAAATTCAAACCGAACAGTAAAAGTATGAGCAAAAATGGAAACTGTTACACAACCTTAACTCTAACAAGTCATTGCCAGACATCCACTACAATAAATGCCCTACTAGAGAGCAGTATAAGCCACAGACAGCTGGGGAGATGATTTTCAGATAAGGATTCTATTCGGCAACATGCATGTACGGCACTAGAAAAGGAACACAGTGTTTTGATGCATCGATCAATGCATCAAAAAATACCAAATTTGAAAAAGCTGTAATAACTGAATTGACATGTTGGGCTGGGTAGGGAAGGTAATTTATCGTAGCATTTGGACCTATGATAGGATTTGTCACTCACAACAGATGGCAGCACATTTTAGATTAAAAGGTATGTGGGAGATTTGATTTCCCTTGGTTTTGCCACCCTCCCTTTACCCGTCTTCAATTTTGCTTGGAATCCTTATTACTCCCATTGCATTGTACTGCTTTGACCTTCATGCCAGAAGACGAATAATTATCTGTTTCTCTTTTGGGCAGACAAAGAAGAATGGGAAAACTCTATATTCTGAATTCTTTATGGTTTTGTAGAAACACAGTTCTTCACTCTGAAAACCAACTGAAAGGCTATTCTTCAGCAGTGAAGATGGCTGCTAGCAGAAGTATGCTTCTCAGGAGTTTGAAGAAGTACAAACTTGAACCAATGTAGTTTGGAGGCCAGAACTGTGGCTTCTTTGGTATGGCTTGTTTCACTTTTGTCAATGCACCTGCTTTGCTGGTGTAACTACGTGCACCACAGGAGTATTTTGTTAGCCCCTATCTCCACACTGATAGTACAGTCACAATGTAGATACAACCTAAGCCTGATTTTCGTAACTGAGGCCAACATTTTCACTTAAAGGTAGTCTTTAAAATCAAGACACCTACAAATAAATATAACTTGACTTTTAAAAGTTTGACTCCGAAGACAAACAATGCTTGCCAAGTACTCAGCACTTTTAAGAATTGGGACACCAAAAAAAGCACCAACAAGCTCATATCCAAAAAGGAGCAAACTGAACATTGCAGGACTTGACTTTTGGATAGGAAGTAACAATCTTACACTGAAATTAAACACTCAATTTCTTTATACCTCAAGAAGGGAGGCATTCGTGGTCCTACAGTGGAAGTGACAACACCTAGCTACCTTAGTGGTGAAATTCCTATGCCATCAACCCATGGAGCCTAAATGGAACTGCTTTGTTTTTATGGGCATAGATAAACCCTGAAAGTCACCTATGTGAAGAGATGATTATTAACATACTTATTTTAATAGAGCTAAGCAATTAGAGCCTTAACTTGTCCAAGTCCTTTCTTGTTACTGGAGGGAGTTGACTGTACTGCCCCTGGACCAGGCATCTTCTCCAGCCTGCTTCTCCAGCAGCAGGCAACTCAAAGCAGTCTCCCTGCCTGTATTTCTTTCTGTTAAACCACGTGATCAGTCAGTATGGAGTGCCACAACTTACCATTTCATTCCATCTGCAAATGTACTCGAGAATCTTTTTATATTTCCTTCCAGGTCACTGATAAAGCTATTGAGCAGTATTACGCCAAGAACAGATTCCTCTGAGTTCCCACTAGAAGCAACCTGTGAGATGAATATTCCCCAACTCTAATCACTTTTCAAGATGCTTCCGTTAGTCCGTTTTTAATCCATTTGGTAACCCAGGATTACACTGATTTTACACACTGTTCCTTCATTTTGTTTTTAACCACAGTGTCAACAAGGCTAAGTAAATGTCATAAAAGTAGTCTAAGCGTATTACTGTCAGCACAGTTATCTTTGTCAACTTCATTTGTGATCTTGGAAAAAGCAGTATCAAGTTTGTTTGACAAGATCTATTATCCATAGGAACTTCCTGGCTGGCATTAGGCATGCTGTCATCTCTTCATTTTTTGTTGGAGCTATCTAGTTTCAACCTTCCAACGACTTTGCTTGACCTATAGTTACCTGGATCATCTTGTTTAACCTTTAAAAATTCTGGCACAACATTTGCTTTTTCCAGTTCACTGGAACTCCCCTCAGTATGCCAAGATTTGTTAAAAAGCAACAACAATGGTTTAGACAGTTCAATTCTATTAATACTCTCCTGTGCAAGTTTTCTAGTCTGACAGAGAATTAAGGAGGAAATATAATTATCAAATTTCACTTCTAACTTCAATTTTACAAAAGCTGAACTTCTACCAGAATGACCTGCCAGCATTTTCGTAATTAAGTGTAAAGCACCCATCAGTATCTTTCCTATAAAGTTTCAGATAATCTCAAGTGCTTCTGTGCCTTGCAGTTGCAAAATACTTGAAATATTATAAAGACAATTTGCTTTTTACATAGTTGTTCTCTCTTCCTCCCACCATTTGCCTACATTTTATGGGAAAGCCTGAAAGTTTTTCAGGGTAAGATTAAAGGACAGAGACCTGGAAAAAAATCTGAACTTTTGTACAGTTTTGTAAGCAACCTTTATGACATAATTTTTAGGAGCTCTGGGGTCAGCTAACGTTAATAAATTATCAACCTTGGTTTTGGCAAACTCCTTAAACTGTAGGGGTTTGAACTTAAACTGTATTTAAACACTAGCCCTCTACATTTGGCATGCATTATTTCTGAACCTATTGATTAAACATCTTTCATCTGCTGTCACATCTTATGGCACTTATACCAGCAGGTGGAAAGGCAAGATGCTGTATAACAATTACTGTCCTATTACTCTATCTGAAAATACAGATATAAAAACTTCTTTGGAAAATAAAATGACAGTATGAAAGAAGATTCAAACTAACTGTAAGAAACTTTTAAAATACATTCATCATAGCTCTTATTTGCTGAATGGAATTACTACCAAACTGCCAGGTATAGCTACCAAATCTATATCTAGTATCTAGACTTTAATATGCTCAGTTTGAAGCATATTTGAGTATTTCTTCAAACATTTAATCTCAAATTCTACTCTATTATCTGGGTAAAATACAGAAACATTTGGCCCTTTACATAAGAAGAAAAGAGCAGTATGACTTGCAATTAATGTGGAAATTTGAATGTGAAGTTCTCCCTAAAACGGCAAGTGATTGCTTGATTGTGGGAGAGGGGTCACCTAGAAGAACTTTCTCCTGACATTTGGCTGATACCACCATTCTTGATTGATTTTGTAAAGCCTCCTTCTGAATCGTTACACAACACTAACCCACCTACTGATATTTTAAGCGGAGTAAAAAAAGGCTGTTTTTTTTTTTTCACATCAGGGAAAGTTACTGTTTTAATAGACTGTTACGTAGAATCTCCTACAATACAAATATAACAATGTAAAACAAATTCAGGATTCTTTAGGCTTCGATTATGTCTACCTTTGCACTGCTCTAATGTTCAAAAGCCCTTTCCTGTGTGGTACCCAATAGCTTATTTTTAAAAATAAACTTTGTCTGGATGAAATTTTAGTTCAGTTAGTTCCGATCTTTCTTTCATCTGACTGCATGCTAGAACTAGACTATTTTTTTATAAGTGCTGTTATTAGAGAGAGGAATACAATGTGAGAAAACAGCTATTAACACAGGTCACAACTGGACTCTCAAAGAGCTGTGTTAAAAGACCAAATCCTGAAAAAGTATTATAAATCTACTTCTCAAATTCAGTGGAGATTCCTTGCATAGGGATTTGGGTTCCTGGGATAGAAACAGCTTTGGAAGTAGAAGAAACAAACGAAAATAATGTATCCAACGAATGCTAGTTATAACGACCAACAGAAGTAGGCTAACCCAGTATCTTCCACCTGCTGGGATTTTGGTCCCCGTCCCAGACATCTCTCAAGTCTCGAGGGCTTACTCTAAAACTGGCTTCAAGTATTCTGACAGTAAGACATGTATTTTTCACAAAAAGGTTTTGTTTGCTTGTTTCAGCATATGAAACACCAAATATTTTCAGTCAATTATACTTTTACCAACCCAGAACATAGGGCCAGTACCAAGTAAACTGGGATCCTGGCTATAAATCCTTTGTCAGTATTTCTCACCTCCCATATCATCTCTGCATTAACAGAACATTGTCCGTTACTGAAGAAAATTTCTAATTCTTGCAAAGAGTGGAATCAAGACTACGAAAGCAAAATAGACCCTAAATTTAAGTTTTTATTTCAATTCTTTTTTTTGAAGAAAAGATGAAGCTTTCCTTTTAAAAGGCAAGGCCCTGTAAAGACACTATTTTCTGATATGAAAACAGATAGAGGTGGAAGTGATACTACGACAGATCTACACTGACACTTGCGCAGCTCAGTTTACATATAGAATTACCCTAATGAAATTCTAAAACATCAGATGCTTGCACCCAAATTTCCACTTGCATCCAATATAAAACCAATTTAGACAATCCCTCTTTACTTAATAAGTATCTGACAGAAATATTTCAAGTAGCTAAGAAAAAAAAGATACAAAATCCATGTGCTTTCTGCCTTTGCTGCCAAAAAATTACTTTGGCTGAGGTGATATAACTCTACAAAAACATTTGTTAACATAATGTTATTTATTTCCTTGTTTTGCCTAATTCCAATGTTTACTTTGTACCTGCATATGTTTGCACTTTTATTATGTTCAAGACCATGATTTCAAGGAAACGTGGGTTTGTGCAAGAAATACTTAGTCTATCAGTCTGAAACACTCAATGCAACATTTCTAAAGCAACATCATGCAAAAAGCCAATTTTCCCATTTCATCTGTGACCTGAAGTTGTGAGGAAAGACAGGAAATTTACCCGATTCCTGGAGATAGCGATACACCAAGAAATTCACTTCGTCACTGGTTATGCTCATCTTAGCCCAACCTCAATATGATGAGGTTTACGAGAAGTGTGATCCACGCTCTGTTCAAAGGGAAAAAAAAGAACAGGTTTTGTTTTACCTTGATTTATTACGAAATTTGTTATCAAAATAGAGGTGGGAATTGTTAAGGCATTCAAAGATCTTATATAGTTACTAGAAGTGTTATGTCCCAATGTGAGGCACCCATTAAATATTGTGAATCAAGTACTCAAGCTGTACTGTAGCTTTTATGATAAGTAAAGAGCAGCATTTAACATATGATAGAGTCAGAGGGAGCATTTTAAATCTTGGAAGCCTTTGCAAATGTCAACTCTTTTACTGTGTGAGCATTTTCTTTTCAGAACTGCTGGCAATTACAGTCACGTATAATACATGAAATTGTAACTTCTGCAGCCCCAAATTTGCAATCTAGTTTTCTGTCCAGTAGTTTATCCACTGAAAAGACAGATTCTTTCCTTACAAAACCACGTTACGCAGAGAACTTAAATAAAGTTCCCAGAAAATAAAACCAAATCTAAATTTAAGATGAGATTACAAATGTTACTACTGGGGGGAGGGGAAGAGAGCGAGCGAAAAAGAGAGAGGATGCCATATACCTTGTGCCAACAAGCAATACAAACCTCCTGGCATTATGTAAAGTTATAATGTTACAATGTCTCTGCTGATTAACGGTGAGCAAGAATTAAACTTCAATTATTCACTTAAGTAATTGTAACCTTTAGGACGACAGTTTTACATTACTATTTTGGGCATATACTCTGATAATAAAAACAGTGGGTTTTAGATGATAAATTTGTTTTGAACATTTTCCATTAAATCTTGGTGATTCATTTCTGTTTGGGCATCTGACTTAAGTAGTATGGTTTGAAAAGCTGTAAGTACTTCTCAGACATAAACTTTGCAGCTTTGTCAGCCACCCCATACCTATAACTAATCACGTAAAGATTTGGATGCAGAAGCACATACTACATTCTTGTCGCGTATTACAAATGAAAGACCGTAGGCGTGTGTCATTTGTTTCAATTTCCCGTATGTCTCTTCTTGGCAAGCGGAAAGGTCTTTGTTCATCGAAAACCTCTTCAGTAATTCCTGTTGCCTAAAGTAGCACCTGCTACTGCAGGCAATGCTGATCGACTACAAGTTTCCCCTGCTGATGATTTAAACCAGCAGGTCACTCATGACTGTAACAGATGTCTCTGCATATTTATGTAAATGCAGGTCTTTCGAACCCTGATAAGCCTTTTATTCTCCTGGGCTGCTGTATTTTGCCAGTGGCTCAGATGCGGGTTTTCCATAAGTAACCATAGCTTGCTAATTTGGGAGACATCTTCCTCAAGTATTACTGACTTCATTATTACAGTTTACACTTCCCGGAGAATGAGATGAAACAAAATATTGAAAATCGTGCAGTCTCGGTGCGGAAAATTTCATCCGCTTTGGAAAGTACGATCACTTGCTGCTAAGATTCCAGATGAGGACAACATCAGCTGTATCCAACATCCAGTTCTGTCACACATGCCATGTATCGTCCTGGGAAGTCATTTGGTCTCTTTTCTCCTCAATCCCTCATCTGTAAAATGGGCTCAAATTTCTCTGCCATGGGATCAGGAGACTGGAAGCTCTGGTAGCTGTAAGGGCTTTAGTTACCAAGGTTGGTGACTGCAGGCAGTGAAAGCACCACTTTCAGTGCAACTTTATACATACTTCTTCCAGATAAACAGAATTGTTTCTGAATAACTAATAAATCCCTGTGCCCCCTTTTGCACGGTCATCACCATACAATGAAGAACAAGAAAGACATTCACAGCAACAGTCAAGGCCATTTTCATCTCCGTCTGAGTACTTAAAATACATCTGAATCGCTGCTATGGCCATGATAACAATAAATCAAGAAACTCTGATAGCTGTGGGTCTAAAAAAACCACCCGACAAAACATTTCTAAAAGCATTTTAAAAATAGCAGTTTCATTATTTGGTGGTAGGAAAGTTGGTAAAGATGAAACCTCTTACAAAAATTCAGTTTCAGCAATGACGTACTTTGTGGTAAAATGAACTTTATTAAAAAAAAAATCAAGAAACTACAAATGCTGTTTCTGGATGCGTCCTGCTAATTTAAGACAATAACATGATATTTCCCACATACAGAGGGTTGCTTTGGGAAAGGGAAGGGAAAGGAGGAGTGTTGTTTTTTGTTTGTTTTTCTAAAGAAGACTTCTCTTAAATGAATTGAAACCAGAGAAAATCAGCCTGGCTGCAAAATAAACAGTCTGACAGCCCCAGAAAAACCTCCAGAGCAGCTACCTTCATATCAGAATCCCAAACACACCGAGTGGCTGGATTTACAATGCATTTTCCCTGAAGTCAGTCAACAGGAATTACTTCGACATATGTGTCAGATCATATCTTTATACACATTGTTACCATGCCATAAATAACCAGATGATCCCCACTCATACATTTAAGGTTTCTTCCCTCCCACAGATGCCAGTGCAGCAATCAGATACACAACTGTAAAGCTTCTGCCCTTCCAAAATGATACACAGATCTTGGCTTTGACCCAGAGAAACCTATTCATTAGACATTTGGCCGAGCTATGAAAGACCATACTTAGTTTCATTAGCACTCTTTTTGATTTCCTTCTTCTCTAAACACCCCAAATAAAAGAGGCTACAGAAGACATGGTGAGGAGGAAAGGCACGTACTCATTTTTTGTGTAACTCCAAGTCTGATTCATAAGGAACAAACAACTAGACTCCCCCTCAATAAATTTTTTTAAATGTAGAAATGCAAACTTCTGTAGAAAATCACAGAAACATTTAGTTATCATGGTGATAGATTTATTTCTGCTAATTGATGGTCTCTTTTGTTACTGGAGATCAGTATTACCTAGATGAATAGCTTTTTAGAAGAAGTAAATTACAGCTTATAAACAGACCTTTGGAGACATTTCACAATTAAAGCAGCAATAACAGCTTAATTCTTCACAATGTCATGAGGAGTTACCAAAACGCATTCAAACATGTGTCTGAACTTTCTTTACTTGCAACACTTTTTCCTGTACCAAATTACACATAGCGGAAAGTTCTGCTTACTTCAACCTCGCCTTAAGAATTTGGGTTGTGATTCTGCAGATGTTTGAGAATGTCCAAACATGTGAGCAGAGCCCACTAAGACTTCCCAAAGTATAATGGATCCTAAACATTCAACCCTCCCCCAGTGGATGGGTTGTCAAGACCATGCAAAATTAAATTTAACACTTACTTTAAATAAACACTCAACTCTCAGTTCTGCTGGGATAGGTTTGCAGAAATGCTTCCCATACAGAGGTAAAAAGCTGGGTTATTAGTTCAGATACGCCACCGTTGTGCTTCTAGGGCTGCTTGGCTTTTGCTGAACTAGGTCGTTCAGCTGGAGTTGAGCTGGCTCCAGCAAAGCTAACCCTGCAGCACGCTCCCCTGTGCTCCGGGCAACCAGGGCAGCTTATTTCCTGGAGTACACCACCAGACCCGATTTGGCTCTGTGCACTGACATACCACTGTTCTCAAATTAAACCTTCCTGAAGCACTGGGAATCTTGCTAATGGGCCATGTAAGTAGCTCTGGAGAAGGCAGCCTCTGTTCAGCACAGCGCTAGTCAGGTCGACCAAGAAGAGTTTATTTACATCTCATCCCTTTACTCAAGGGTTGTTCTTCCTTCTTCCGGCATATTTTAGCACTGTTGCCATAAATAAGGGAGATCTGGCTGAAGAATCAAGGGAAAATAACTTTTTGAACTTTGAAATAGCATCTAAAGACGCAACTCCTCTGCCTCTCTTCTAAATCATACTCACAGGGTCCTCCAGGGCCATGTCCTGACCTCCAGGCTCACCCCGGGACAGGGGACAGCCAAGGCTATTTCAGGAAAGTTTACATTTGCTACTTGAAACAGCATTGCCATCCACAGGGTCTGGGAGTTGCCAGTCCAATCTTCCTCTCAGGAAGGCGGAAACAGGCCAGACATTTAAGGAAAACACCTAAACTAAAACCCAAACCTGAAACCTAAATAGGAAGCCAGGCACTTCCCATTTCTGCATCCAGCCCTGCTGACAGAAATTCATCAGATGGCGAGTCTGGCCCTTGCCTTACCCCCTGAAGAAATCTGCGAGCTCCAGTCTGCTTTAACTAAGTGCTGAGCAGCTGTCAGCTTCTTGGGAGTATTTTCTGGGGGTTATTACTGTTAAATAAACACCCTCCCCTCAAAAAAACAACCCCAACCCCCAAAATTTTCACTTATCTCCTGGAGGGGTTGCACTATTTACCTACTTATTTGACAAGGCTAGGCCAAAATGTCTTTTCCCAACCAAAGTTTCAATGACAAGATTGTCATTAAAATGATGGGGGGTGAAGAGAAATTGTATATTTGTTTTTGGGGAAAAAAAAAAAGGCAAAAATTAGAGGTTTCATAAAAATGAAAACATTCCAGAAAGTTCAAATGTTTAATGTTACCAAATTGATGCCCTGCCACATGGAACTGGAGTTCACCTACTTGTGCTCCCATGTTCTCGTCCCAAGATGGCTCTATGCATTAAGCCACGTATCTCAGGACCCACTACAGTCTCCCCATCTCAGAGAAGAGAATGTGAACATGAGAACTAAAATAGAGTCTAGGAAGGCACCATGACAGCATAGCCAAATCAATGTCTTACTGTTTTGCGTATGCTCTGTAGTAACAAAAAACAACGTTTCCCAAAGCCAGAAGCTACTTCTCACAAAATGAGCCACTTTAGTCAATCTCAGTATTTTCCGTTGAAAAACACTTTCATCAGAAACTTTCAGTGAGCCCTGTGCTTCTGTATTTCTGTGCTGTGTCTTACCAGGGAGCCAGAACAGAGTCAGCAGCCAGCAGCTCTTCCCCAAAGGCTAACGAGCTGTGCTTGGCCCACACTACTGCATTCTTCAGTCTTGGCTTTTCTCGCAGCTGCCTCTTCTTGAGGAGGAACTCCAGCACACTTCTTTCCCAAAATGCCAAAACTGAACTTCTGGAAAGGAAAA